TCATCTATCCAAGAGTGACTGTGACTTCAGAAATGGCTGAGGAATGGTTGATACAGTGTTTACTGCCAAACAACTCCAGGAGAAATACCGAGAGCAGAACAGTCTGTACACAATGTTCATTGATCTGACCAAGGCCTTCAATACTGTCAGTCATGAGGACTTGTGAAAAATTATGGCAAAATTTGGTTACGCAGAGAAGTTCGTCAGTATTATCAGTTCCTTGATGTCATGTTCCCACAGTTTCTGTATAATTGACAATGCTCTCACCCTGTCCCAGTTACCAAATGGAGTGAAACAAGGCTGTGTGCCTGCTCCCGTGCTTTATGGCATAATGTTTTCAGTGATATTGTCAGACACCTTCAATGAGGATGAAAGTAGTATCAAGGTCAGCTACCACACTGACAGTAAATTACTTAACTTGAAAAGGCTACAAGCCAAAACTAAACTGGAGGGTGACTGGTGCATGATTTTTTTGTTTGTTTGTTTGCAAGTGGTTGTACACTCAACGCAGCCTGTGAGGCTGAGGTGCAACAGAGTATGGAGAGATTCTATGCTGCTTGTGCTAATTTTGGCCTAACAATTAACACCAAGAAAACAAATTCTCCACCAGCCAGCACCACACCATCCATATGTGGAACCATCGGCAAATGGAGAAATATTGAATGCTGTGGATAAGTTCACTTAACTTGGCAGTATGCTTTTCAGGGATGGTTACATAGATGATGAGGTTAACTCACTCTTTGCGAGATCTAGTTCAGTGTTGGGGAGGCTCCAAAGGGAAGTGAGGGAGAGAAGAGGTGTTAGACTGCCTACTAAACTGAAAGTCTACAGAGGTGTTGTGCTGACCTCATTGTTGTATGCCTGTGAAACCTGGACAGTTACCAGCACCAGGCCAGGAAATGGAATCACTTCCATCTGAATTGTCTTAGGAAGATTCTGAAGATCACCTGGCAGGATAAGGTACCAGACGCTGAGGTCCTTTCTCAAGCTGAACTGCCAAGCATTCAAACTATTGCAGATAGTGCAACTCTGATCGGCTGGCCACATTGTTCGAATGCCAAACATATGCTTACATAAAAATTATTTTATAGATAACTCACAGGAGGCAAATGCTCCCATGGAGGTTAGAAGAAGCAACACAAGGACACTGTTAAGGTGTCTTAAGAACTTTGGAATCAATTGTGTGACATGGGAGACACTGGCAAAGGACCGCACAGCATGGCGTGCCCTTATCAAAGGAGGTGCTGTTCTCTATGAGCAAAGCAGAATTGAAGTAGCTGAAAAGAAACATGAGATGAGCAAATTTAGAGGCAACACCACTCCAAATGTTCATATGGATTATTTGTGCCCGACCTGTGGTAGAGCCTTCTGAGCTCATGTTGGCCTGATCAGCCACAATCAGACACACCATACCTTGACTCCGACATAGGGATGCCATTTTGGTCCTTTTTGAGAAAGAAGGACAACCACCAAACAACCGTTGTCCCATCCACCCCACACAAAAATGATATCTTTGTCCTTTCTTTGATCACCCTTTGTCTCTAAATATAGCTCAAGCACAAAGATAAAAATAATCAGCCCTTTTAGTTGTCCTTAGCTTTCCTTGCCAAACAGCTCATTCTGAGATTAATCATCCTGACATTTTTATAGGACATGCCGTACTCCTGTATTCATTCTGTTGTCTGGCCTTGCTTTCATCTTCTGTACATTTTTTAAAAAATCTTAGTGGATTGTTGAGTCCCTTGTGTATCCATATAAGTTTCTTTACACAAATTCCATTTTTCTTTCTCATTGAAATGGTTTTCCTTTGTGTGTTCAGAATTTCACTCAAGCATCTCTCATGCCTATTTGACTGACTTCCCCTGAAGAGTTTTACTTCATAGCATCCCAGCTACATTTCCTATGCACCTGTTGAAATCTTTTCCAAAAATCTAGGTGGGGAGAGGCAGGGGAGAGAGAGGAATGTGAGACTCTCCTCCATTACCAACTCTAAGATAGAATGGTTCCTTCCCTCTAGGGTTTCCATCATTTCACTTGAAAGATTAAAATTAATTTTACCTCGAGTTTCTACTATACTGATTCTACAATGTAATTGATTTTATGCTGTATTGATTTTTATATTTGAGTCTGCATCTGCCTAAAGCCATCTTTTTATGTCTTTGAGTTGAGCTCAGGAATTTAGCTTTCCCTCTGAGTTAATTTTAAGTTATAATTGTTGAGAAAAACCATTATCTACCACATCTTCACCTCCTAGGAAAATAGCAAGACATCTGGTGTTATCTCATAAGCCCTGAAGCTAGCTCTAAGAGATACATTCTTCCTGAACAGTCCTTGCACCATTAAGTAAAGCTGTTATCTTTTTAACTATCCTTTCTAGGTATCAGAGAGCCTGCTAACTCAGGGCCACTAACAAGGTCTTCAGTATGCAGATGGATCCTATAAATCAGTCAGCATTCCTTAATGATAAAGGGAAGTGATTAGTAGCCCACTTTCTTTGATGTAACCAATCATGTCCCCACCCCCATGATGCTGTCTACCCAGGAACCAATCTCATTGTCTTCCTACCTACCCAACTCTGTTCTTTGTTTTGTGCTTCCCTAAAAACTATAAAAAGTGTTGTTGGCCCCATAGCATGGTCTTAGTTTTGCTAGGAAAGCTAAGAACCTATTTATTGATAAATTGAATGTGCTCAGACTTGCGTGCCTCAATTCACCTTAATTTCAATCCAACACTACCAGTGACCAGTTCTTCTATTTTGGGTAATGGATTCCAGAATAGAATTTCCACTTGTTGGCTTCTCCACATTGGATGAAATCATCACTAATGCAAATCAAGAGGTGATTAGCTACTCTGCTTTTGACAGGTAACTCCAGTAGCTATCTAGATAATAGAAGTACCCCATCACCACTATAACATCCCTTTCTCCTCTACATTATTACATTATCCATCATCCTAATGCCTCCCCTCAACCTCAGATCCCCTTCCCCCCAGTGATAACTCCATTCTCTTTCCTTTAGGAACATTTATCCCCTTACAACTAGGAATGTGAAAAGTATTCTTTGCAGTCCTTCGATCTTTTCCTCCAGGAAAAAGATCAGCTTTCAGTTGAAATACAGATAACAGTCACTAGGCTATGGCAGAAATACAAGCACCACACCCTCAATGCAAATACCTATACCATTTTCCTCCCTTCCATAATGGTTGAGCTTTCCAGCCTTGTTTCTTTGAACTAATTGTGGGTATTTATGCCTCAACCTTAGGCATCTAGGTGGCTGTGTGGATGGAACACTGGGCCTGAAGTCAGGAAGACCTGAATTCAAATCAACACTAACTGTGTGACCCTGGGCAAGTCACTTAACCCTTATATGCCTCAGTTCCTCATCTGTAAAATGAGCTGGAAAAGGAAATGGCAAGCCACTCTAGTATCTTTGCCAAGAAAACCCCATTGGGGTCACAGAGAGTCGGATATGACTGAAACAACTGGACAACAACATGCCTCAACCTTTCGCACTTTTACAGTCAATTACCATCTCTTAATAAATTGAGAACCCTACTCATATTTTTTTTCCTTTTGGTCAACAATGCCACAAACCATACCTATCTCTCCTTTAAGCGTGCACCAACCTCTGTTTCACTAATTTGTCCCACTCACCAATCCACTTTATCCATTTGATTAACCCTTCAATTACTCTATTTACCTTTTCTTACAATTTGACTTGCCACCTACTTTTGTATTTCCCAGTTACTTACATGATGTCTCCCCATCAGAATGTAAGCCTCTTGAGAACTTTGTGTCCCCAGTGCTTAGTATAGTGTTGGACATATAGTAAGCACTTAATAAATACTTGTTGGCTTGACTTGGCCTACACAATTTCCTTCTCCTGATTCAGCTGAAGTCTTTTTCTCCCACAGCTGGTCCCCCTCAGCCCTTTTTCTTCCTAGGGCCGAGGAAAGATGAGGAAGGTGTTTTGGGCAGAACCTCTGAATCCTGAGGTGTTCTTAACCTAGAGTCATGCCATAGCCAGATGGCAGCCTACTTTCAACCACACACCCCCTCTACAAACACACACACACACACACACACACACACACACACACACACACACACACCCCTTCCTCCTCCCATATTTGAGCAGAGGGCAGAGACTTTCAGCAGATTCTCCCCAGCAGGGGAGAGGGTTCCCTCAGTGGGCCCCAGAAGGAAGTCTGTGAGTTAGCTTGTATTCCTTATGGGGAAGCATGGAGATTGGTAGGAGAGGAGTGCTGAGACAAATTTATTAATTATCTAAAATCCAAGCATCTCTGCTTAAAGAGAAGTTTCAAGGGACAGAGAAGCATCCTGCTTCAAAAACGTCCCTGCCAGAAACATTCTTGCTTACAATTTTATAGTAGTCATGAGACAAAGGCGAGGTGAGGTAAAAGAAAAACTACAAAATTCAGTTGTAGGGTTTTCACCCAACAGCTACATAGGAATGTTAATGTTGTAAGGTACACCCATGGAAAGGAAGCCAGCTTCCTGAAAAGCCAAGATGGGCTCCAGGTTCAATAAAAACAAAGGAGCACCTTCTTTGATTATCAAACAGACATTTCCTCTCCCTAATCTTAGTTTCAGAAAATCCCAGCCTCCCCCTGAAGTTGATTGGGTTTTTAAATGGAAGAATGGTTAGATCATTCATTCAAGTGAGATCAAGGACTTTGGATGAACACAGTGAAATGATATTCTCTTTATATTTCTAGAAAAGGGGTCAAAGAATCCTTTGTCTACTTCCACACCCACTTTTACCCCCCATACAGTGAGTCTGTGGGTCCTTTGGCCTCACATACAGACTGACTCCACGGACAAAGACCCTATACCCACAGCCCATTTCCAAGAACTTTCTGACCTCTTTGCATCAGTCCTTTAGGCTTGTCTCTCCTTAGCATTCTCTCCTGCCTCCATTCATATGCCTTACTGGGATGGTGAAACTGCCTCAGCTTTCTCTCTCTCTCTTTCTTTCCAGGTTTGCTCGTTTTATATTTTATTTCTCAGTTCCTTTACTTCTCTGACTATGAAAATTACCTGCAACAAATGTTCAGAGGCTCTGTGGTCATCCTGGCCTTTATTGGTGCCACCATCACAGACTCCTGGCTTGGAAATTTCAAGTAAGGAAAATATTTTCTCCTCTTCCCACCGTAAGGTGATCCCTTCTTAGGAAGGGATCAAGAACTAGGCTACCGAGAAAGACTTTTCTTAGGATTTTTAAGCAGTGTCCACATGGATTTTAACATTCAGTCTCTGTGTTCCCTGCCTCGAATTGTCATAAGGATCAAACAGTAGCTAATGTGTGTGTGTGTGTGTGTGTGTATATGTGTGTGTGTGTGTGTGTATGTGTGTGTAAAACCAGAGGGAGGGAGGGAGCACTTAAGTATAAAGGACCATACAAATGTAAGGTTTATTGTGACTATCACCCTCACCTCCAGTTCTGAAACTGTCACTATGCATCTTCATGTGTTTGTGAATCTAGACTTCTGCCCATGTGAAAGTCTCTGTGTGTGGCTATGTATATTTATGTGGGTAAGTCTTTATAATGCATTCTATATATGTGTGTATGTGTGACCCTATACGTATGTCCGACACACATACAGGTTTCTTAGATTTGAGTCTATGCTTATATGATTCTAAGGGTGACAAAGGTGATGACATTGAGAACATAAGATTTTTATCGAAACAGCTGTTAATGTGCTAAGAAATCAATGAAATGAAGCTGTTTCCTCTATCTACGTATATTCGTGAACTTCTGTGTATGTGAATAATAGGCTTTATGTGTATCCACATGTTTAATACTCTATGTGGGGATGAAGCCTCTGTGTCTGGGAACTATGTACATGTTCATGCTGCGTAAGTCTCTGTGTGAATTTGTCTTTATCCCATGTTTTTTAAGTTGCTGTAAGGGATTCTATGGGTGTCTGTGAACCTGTGTACATCTCCTTGCACACATTTCTGTGTGTATCCACGTGTGTTTGTGTGTGTGTATGTGTGTGTGTGTGTGTGTAAGCCAAGAATACTTACTAAGCAGAAAGCCTTAATCCTCCAGCTGAACCAGGATTCCCAATCAGGCAAGGATATCAAAAAAGGACAGAGAGAAGCTAGGAGAGGGCCGCTAGAGCCATAAAGAAGGATAATAAGGGAGAAAGATGGGTCTCCGAGAAACATACAGGGCTTCTGTTGGACCAGAGAGCCAAGACCAAGATACTATAGATCATAAATTTATAATTAGGGGGGTCCTTTGAGATCACTGAGTCTAACCCTCCCATTTTACAGATGAGGGGAATGAGACCCAGAACGGGGAAATGATAACCAGGACCCCTCACCATTAGTAAATGGCAGTTGTGAGAAGCCAAGTGCTGGGTGTATAGGACAACAGAGACCTCATGCGGTTTGTGAAGGAACAGCTCCATCTGTCATTGAGTAAGGGGGTGACCTGGTCACTTTAGGAAGCTTTGACAGCTGAAAGAAGGATGACGTGGAGTCAGGGAAAGAATTATTATGGCAGAGAGACCAAGCAGGAGATAATTACAATGTTCTGGATGTGAGGCAATGAGCTTGTGTACCGAGATGTAAACTGAAATCTCATCATTCCCATCTGACCACCCCAGTCACCCTCAGCCTATAATCTCATCTTCTCCTTTACTAATACTCTGCACCAGGTTTAGCTGTCAATCCCACCCTAGCTTGGCCCAATGAGGGCCTCACCTCCTCCCTTCACAGAGGCATGACTTTCCTAACATTTCTCCTGACCTCTACTCTCGCATCACCAACTGCCTCTGGGACATCTCAAACTGGATGCCTTTAAGCATTGCTAATTCAACATGTCAAAACAGAACTCATTATTACTCCTTCCAAATTCTCTCTACTTCCAAACTTTCCTATACTGCTGAGGGCACCACCCAGCCCCTTAACCTTTATGTCATCCTGGACTCTTCTCCCTGATTCAGCCCACATATCCATCCGTCACCGAGTCTGATTCTACCTTCACAACCGCTCTTGTATGTGGCCCCTTAACTCTACCCTCATGGCTTATACCCTGGTACACAGACTCACACACCTGGGCCATTGCAACAATCTGCTTAGTCTCCCTGCCTTAATAACTCTCCCCCCAACTCCAATCCAGCTTCCCTTTAGCTGCCTAAAGTCTTCCTAAAGTGACCATGTCACCCCCTTACTCAATAAATGCCCATTTACATCCAGGTTCAAATATTAAACTCTCTTTTTTAAAGTCCTTTACAGCCTAGCCCTTTTCTCCCTTTCCAGTCTTCTTACACTTTACTCCCCTCCACATACTTTGTGATACAGCAACATTTGCCTTTCTCTCTCTTCTCTCCCCTCTCTTCATCACCCCCACAGCTAAGATGTCTCCTGCTTTTTCTCTCTTTCTAAGGGAAGAGAGGGACTGAGCTTCCAGTCTCAGTCCCAGGACTACTCTCACAGACAAACCATTGGTGAGCTCCCATTACAGAAACATAGGCTGTATGGCTACTTGTTAGAAAGGATTCTTGGTCAGGTAGCTGTGTGACCCTGTAAAGGCACTTAACCCTAATTGCCAAAACAAAAACAAAAAAACAAAACAAAGAGCAAAGGAGGGAGAGGGGGAAAGAGAGAAAACAGGAAAAGGAGAAATAGGAGAAAAAGGAGAAATCCTGCCAGAAGACACGTCAAGGTCTAGTTGAGTCATCCCAAACCCACATGCCTTGTGTGTGCACACACAGGAGAGCTGATCCAAGTGTTAGCTTAGATGGCCTCAATGTGGAGATTCTGTTATTCTGCAATTCACCGCTCTGTTGCTATCTAACAGAAAAGAATGTAATCATAAAAGAATTAGGTCTAGCTCCCTTGTAGCGAAACTGCCATTACAGGAGTAGCAGAAATCAGAGTTTGACAATGAAATATTTTATCAAATAATGAGACTTTTGAATAATAATTATAATAACAATAACAACTAAATCCACGTGGGAATGGCACAAGGTACATGTTACCCCTGCTGTCCTATCTGTTACTGGAGTTGACCTGATGATTCTTTGAGTGATCCTGCAGAAGATGAGCTCACACATGCCCATATTCTTATTCAATTAGGAAAATCACAATCATAGATTAAATATATAAGATTAAATATAAAAGAATAATAGCAGAATAGCTTCCTGTCCTCAGACTGTTTCCATCGATTCTACTAAAAAAAGAGAGAGAACCATGAGGTAACGGTGATCATTTACTGATAATATTGATAACTTATACCCTTAGTGGAAGAGGGGTAGGCTTGTTTTGCTCAGCTATTTCTCCTTTTCCTGTTTTCTCTCTTTGTCCCTCTCCCTCCTTTGCTCTTTGTTTTGGTTTTTTGTTTTTGTTTTGGCAATTAGGGTTAAGTGACTTGCCCAGGGTCACACAGCTAGTGAATGTCATGTGTCTGAGGCCAGATTTGAACTCAGGACCTCCGGTGCTCTATCCACTGCTCCACCTAGCTGCCCCATCCTCCCTTTGCTCTTCGTGTGATCACTCTTGGCCTCAGCTCGGTGCTCTCTCCTCCACTTCTGGTCAGAGTCCCTCAAGGTCTTGATGACTATCTTTTCCTCCAGTGCCTTCATCGGAAGTAACATATTCTTATTACTTGGCCACGTCTTTGCCATGACCAAAGAAATCCTGCCAGAAGACATGTCAACGTCTAGGTGAGTCATCCCAAACCCACATGCCTCATGTGTGCACACACAGGAGAGCTGACGCAAGGCTTTGCTCTTCAGTTGTGAGGAGAAGAGAGAGAGTGGGAAGAGAGGGTCTCAGCCTTTGTCTCTATTTCCATCTGCGGGGGGGGGAGGGGCGGACTCTTCCACGTCCATTGAGTCAGTGGGGTGAAGTGTTTGTCCGCAGCAGGGATGCTTTGTGTCCCTCTGTCACAGAAGTGCTCAAGAGGGAGCTCGCAGTAAGTGCCTCTGTCCCCCTCTTCCCTCCAGGTTCTTGGTCGCTCTGGGTTTATTCTTTGTGGCTTTTGCCACCGGTATCAAGATGCCCTGTATGTTGTGTTTAGCTGGTGATCAGTTTCCAGTGCACCAGGTACGTGTGCAGAGTAGCTGGTTGTCTCCTGTTTATCCCTCCACCCCGTCCTCCTCCAGGAGCTACAGGATCAGAGTATCAGAGAATTCGAGACGACAGGGACCTCAGAGGTCATCTCCATGTTACAGAAAAGGGAACTGAGGCCCATAATGCTGAAGAAATTAATTTGCCTAAGTCAGACAACTAGTACATGACAGAGTCAGTATTTGAACACAGGTCCTTTGACTCCACGTTCACTGCTTATTCTTTATCTCTGTAAGAGGCTGCCATTTGCTCCCAGGAAATACAGATAAAATTCAATCCGAGGGCTTTTTTGGGGGGGAGGAAGACAATCAGGGTTAAGTGACTCACCCAGGGTCATACAGCTAGTAAGTGTCTAAGGCCAGATTTGAACTCAGTTCCTCCTGACTTCAGGGCTGGTGCTCTATGCACTGTGCCACCTAGTTGCCCCTAATCTGAGGACTTTTTAAAATTATCTTATTTTAAAGTATTTTTTTGAAAACTCTATTTGTCACCTGTCAAAAGCAGGCCATGTTTAAGGCTCTGTAGCTTCATATGGGGTCTATGTTTATTATGCTGTCCTGAATTTCCTCTTTTAATAATTAGAAACTCATAGTCAATTCTGTATACAATGTTTTATCTTTGACTAGTATTCCCCTGACCCCCAGCCCACGTCTGGATAGCTTCCCCCGCTACAGGATGAGTTTGCTCAGAGAATGCCAACTTAGTAAATAATCTAACTGTAATGTACGTTCCCCTTGTCCCTTTGAGTCATATGCCCCTTCTTAACTGTGACTCATGTAGGGCAGGGTCTCTATCTTATCTAAACTCTATATCTCCCCCACCCACCCAGCACAGGACTCTGCACATGGTAGGTGATCTGTAAATGTTGGTTGAATTGAACTAAATCCAATTAAATTCGCTTGAGTCAAACACAACTACAGAGGGGTTTTGGAAAATACATACACATACATGCACACACATACATGTACACATCCAAAGGAATTTCAAAGGAAGGAAAGTAGTTGAATGATGGTGTGGCAGAGCAAATCAGAGACAATGGGAAGCAAAGAGTATGCTATGAAATTAATGGTACGAGCACCAATGCATGATGGGACGTGAGGAGGAAAAGGTTAGGACAATATCACTGGATCTGGAATTCTAATTTTCAAAGACATATTCATCATAGAATTTACTGACTTTGACTTGGACCATACAAAGAGACACGCACTGTCCTCTCTGTCCTTACACAAAGAGTTACCTCAGCTCTAAGGTTTTATGATTCTCTCTGTCAAATGCAGAAGAGATGAATATAGGCAAGTGGGGCTAGCGGAGGCTTCCTTGTGGAGATATGAGCTAAACAAATTCCACCCAACAGAATAGAAAAAGCTTGGGAAAGTAAACTTAGGACAACTCAGAATCACAGAATCTTTGAGTTAGAATGGAACTCAGAAGTCATCTAATCAAACCCAAAAGTAAACAGTAATTCATTCTGCAATTAGTGGTCACTGAATTGGTGTTCTGGGGGAATCCATAGTCACAATTAGAGAGGGAAATTAATAACCTCTCCTGTCCATATTTCCCTATCATTCAGTAGTGAGTATTTTTCTTTTCCAAATAAGTGATTTTCTGCCCTGGGTTCAAGTACTGAGTATGTACAGAGCCAGTGATCCCTATAGACTTAGAGAAGATATGACTCCTTGCCTATACCTAATACCACATAGGTGGGGGGAAAAACAATCTTTGCATCAACTATTCCTGAAAAAGTTTCTTATCTAAGTATGTAGGAAATGGACACAAGCCAAGAAAGCCATGGGTTCATTCCCTAGTAGATAAGTGGTCAAAGGAGATGAACACCTTGTCAAAGAGAAATCACAATCAACCAACCATATGAAAAATTGCTCCAAATCACTAATACCAAAATGATAACAGTTTGGAGATTTCATCATATGCCCTTCACATTGGCAATGATGTTAAAAGAGGAATGCAGCAAAGGTTAGCAGAGCTATGAGAAAACAGACACACTAATACCCTGATTGAGCTGTGAATTTGTCATAACATTCTGGAAACTGAGATACATATTACTAAATATTTGGTGTTCTCTAGTGTCATTGAGCATGATTTATTTTATTGATTTCAGGTAAAGGAAAAGAACAAAGCGTTCTCCTTCTTATACATGTCTACAGTCTTTGGGAACTTCTTTGCCGACATCTCCCTCCCCTCGATTATGGGTCAGTGGTTATTCTGGGGATTGTAGAGATTGGGCAAAAGCCATAGTGCACCACAATTCTTCCAAATAACACCCAGGGAAGGTATGGAAAATACTGAATTTTTAAGTAATAAGAATTTATGTCTGCAAAGCTTCTGACTACAACTCACAAAGGGTAGAGGGAAGCAGGAATTGTCTACATTTTATAGACGCAGAAAGTGAAGCACAGATAGTAGATGGCAAATGAATCACATTCTGTTATGTAGGTATTTTTTCCATTTGATATGTCTAGAATAAATGATTCCCCATCTTCCTTAGTCACACCTTGAGTGTGCAAAAACGTGATGTCCATCCAGGCCACCGGCTTCCATTTCTGTCTTGGGTCAGCTCCATTAGCACCTTTCTTTAAAGACCATGGGATCACAGTTATAGAATTGGAAGGGACCTTAGAAATCATCTAATTCTTACAAATTAGGAAACTGAGGCACAGAAAAGCACAAAAAGAAGCTAAAGCTTCTATCTGTGGCTTTAGAGCTATAACTTGGAATTGTGGCACTCAGAGCAAATTCATTTGAGGGCAAGGTGACTTCACCTGAGGAATAGGAAAATCTCAGGATACCACCTCAAGTCAGTTTGCAGCAACATCATTTTTACTTGAGATATGCCCCTCAGAAAGGTGTGGGCAACCAACTCCTGAAATAGTGCAACAAGGTGAGGACACAAAGAACATGTGACCCAGCTGCGTGTATGTGGAAGAGAGGGGATCCTGATTCCCAAATAGCATTTCCATGGAATGGCTAACAACAGCCCCTGACCCTCAGTACTCACAGCTCCCGGAAAGAAGTAGAAGGGTAGGGGAGAAGCAATAAGGGGATGTAGGATATAGTAGTGAGGACAGCCAAGCCTCAGACAAGGGGTGTGGTGACATTAGCAGGATTCTAGGCAGGGTGACGAGACCGAGTGACTCAACAGGGGCAGTCAGACTATACACCATAAGGCTGGAGGGCAGACGCACAGCCTTTGGGCATGCTTCGACTTCAGGCAAAGCCCAGTTACCTGGCTATAACTCCCTGGGGCTTCTAACCAAAATCCCTCTTTCATTCCTGCAGAATGAAAACACATTTTGATTATTTCCTACTTTCCTGTGCCTGAAACAAGTACCTAGTCCACCCTTCAAAGTTTTCCAAGGATTCTTCTAGAATGTTTTCTTAACAATGGGGAAATTGTCAGAAAGCAGTTTTTTTTTTTAATAGGAAAGGGTATGGAATTTCAAGAAACCTCACAAGATGTATTATTCTTGGTACTCTGTGGGATGTTAGTATGATTAAAATCTGATCTTTCTTAGCTCTACTCACCTTGGTTACTATGTCTTCATTTATGTTGATGTGATCTAGGACCAATTCCTTTGTACCTATTGTAGTCCCAGAGAAGTGCTTCCCTCCTCCTTCTCTGCCTCTAGAATACGCAGGAAAAAGAGAGGGGCCTCAAAGTACCAGTGGCAAGTCTTTGGATACATCAAAGACAAAAGTTAAGAGTCTTCTGCTTTTCAGAGAGCCCTGGCTCAGTGTCTATTTCTCAGATGTTTTCTTTCTTCACAAAGGATGCCAGTCCCTCACCTCCTGCACTCAATTGTCCTTAGTTCCATACACTGAAGGTATGAACACGACAGGGCAGTGGGGACCAGCTCTCTTCCGTAGCTATCCCCTCCTGCCACAAGACCCTAGTAGACTACGCTTTCCTTGAGCACTCAGCACTTGAGTGATGTGGGAATGAAGTACTCCCTCCTGGGAAAAGTAGCCAGGCAGATGACCCTGTGAATGATGCAGTAACAAAGGGGAGGCTGGGCTCTGGGTAACTTTCCATCTCTTCCATTCTACAGAAAGAAGTTGCTCCTACAAAGACTGCTACTTGATATACTTGGGCGCCTCAGCTGGCATTGTGACTTTTAACTTAGGTAGGTTGTGCTGGTGTGGGTGGGAGGGTAGGGAACAGAGGGTGGACTGCTCTGGCAGCAGCCGTGGCCCATGGACCAAAGCCAGGCATGGGCCATACCGTTGCAAACCTCTAGGGCAGTCTACACCTGACTGACAATGCCTACTTCTGGATGGTTAAGGCTCTCCCTCCATTTGACCATAGTTAGATGACATGATACCGTGTGAGAATAATAATGCTAATAATAATGATGGCTAACATGTGTATAGCACCTACTAAGTACTTTACAAACATCATTATCTCATTTTATCCTCACTATGACATTTAAAACAGTTTACAGATGAGGAAACTGAGGCAGGCAGAAATGAAATGATTTGCCCAGGGTCACACAGCTAGTTAAATATCTGAGGCTGGATTTGAACTTGGGTCTTTTTGACTCCAAGACCAGCATTCTATCCATTGTACCACCTAGCTGCCTTGAACTACTCTAAACCCACCAAACCTGGTCATGTGGAGGCATTCGATTACTCAGGGAAGCTCCTCAAAGTGCCTTCATTCTTCCTTCCAGTAATCACGTTCTCTGCTCCTTCAAGAGACACTCTCTTCCCAAGAAAACCTACTGTTTGCCCTTGAACTTGTTCCTAGCTCATATAGAGCTTAGGATCCACAAGCCCTTGAAACCAGTGGAACATCACTCCTCAGCCCAGGTCCTCTCTTCAAGGATCTGCCCACGATCTATGACCTAGAACTGGTTAGTGAACAACAAGCCAGGATCCTCTGGGCTGGCTGTGGAACTCCTTCTTGCTCTGTCTCTCCCTGCACTGTAATGCTCTTGGCCAGACCCCACCCACATACCTCTCCATCTAATCTCTTGATGCTGACCTAGGCTGGAAAAAAAATGACCTAATGTGATTTTTTTTTCTTGGATTTCCCAATCAGAATTTGGTTTGGTGCATTTTTTAGATCTTTGGGGAGGAGGTATCAGTGAGAACTCAGCTGTTCTTGCTACTACTAAACTATCACCTTGGTTCTATTCCAACTCCAGCAGAGTATCTTCAATAACAATGTGAAAATTGTGAATGGAGAATGTTCTGTTAATTTCCCTAGATAAGAATAGAAAATGTCCTTTCATATTAATGATGCATTTGTATCCCAGCATCACTTTGATAGAAATAAGGAGCAAGAAAGACTAATTTCATTTTACCCAGTATTAGACTCAGTGATTACCAGTCATGTGAACAGGGAACTGGTCAAATTTGTGACTTCTGACTGCAATGGGAATATCACTAGGCTTTAATATCGGTATGAGAAATCACTACTAAACAATTTAAAGGGACCTTGAATGAGTCGTAAGCTGATGTAAGATTGTTTCAGGGTTTATAATTTATCTGTTTCATCAAGTCAACAAACATTTGTTAAGGGCTTCTAATTATGATATGCCAGATACTGTAGAGATACAACAAATGGCAAAAAAAAAAAAAAAAAAAAGAATAGTCCTTGCTGTCAAGGAGCACGTGGTCCAGGGGGAAAGACAACATACAAAGAACTATGTGCAGACAAGATGTATGTAGGATAAATTGGAAATAATCAACAGAGGGGAGGCACCAGAATTAAGAAGGATTAGGAAAAGCTTGCTGTAAAAGGTAGCTGGGACTTAAAAGAAGCCAAGGAAGCCAGAAGGCAGAGATGAGGGAGAGAATTCCAGGCACAGGACATCTGGTGAACATTTCTGGGGTCGAGAGAGGGAGAGTCTTGTTCAAGGAATAGCAAGGAGGCCAGTGTCGTTGGATTGCAGAGAACATGGAAGTGGGGAATGGTGTAGGATGAAAGGTAGAAAGAGGCCATGTTATGAAGAGATTGAAGTGCCCAACAGAAGATTTTATGTTTTATTGTTGAGGTGATAGGGAGCCACTACAGTTTACTGACTAGGGAGGTAACATGGTCAGATCTGCATTTTAGGAAGATCAAATCGTCAGCCCAATACAGCATGGACTGCAGGTAGAAGAGACTTAAGGAAGCAGGCGACGCTAATAGTCCAGGTTTGAGGTGATGAGGGCTGTACCAGGATGGTGGCAGCATCAGAGGAGAGAAGAGGGGATATATGAGAGATGCTGGAAAGGTGGAAATGACAGGACTGGGCAACAGATTGAATTGCGGGTGGGGGGACGAGAGTGAGGAGTCAAGAATAACTCCTAGATTATGAGCCTCAGTTACTGGGAGGAGGGTGGTGCCCTTAACAGTAATTTAAAAAAAAAAGTTGGGAAGTGGGAGAGCATGAGGGAAAAGATAATGAGTTTTGTTTCGGACATGTTGAGTTTTAGATGTCTACAGAATATCCTGTTTGAAATGTCTAATAAGTGGTTGGAGATGAGAAACTTGGGTCAGCAGAGAAGTTAGGACTGGATGAGTAGATCTGAGAATCTGGAACATAAAATGATAATTGAATCCCTTAGAACTGATAGATCACCAAGTGAAATAGTATTGTTGTTGTTTGTCCTTTGTTCTCGAAGAGGACCATGACATGAGGAGGGTGATGCCATGACTTGCAAGTGAATTGGATTTAAGTGAGGCAGGGCTGTGCAAAGGCACCAGCTTCACTTTCTCCTCCAGAGCCATGTGGGTCCAACGGCCAGATATAGATCAGGATGACTAGAGATGCTGAAATAGTACAGAGGGAGAAGAGAAGAGGACCCAAGATAGAGACCTGAAGGACATGCATGATTAGCAGACACAGCCTGGATGAAGATCCAGCAAAGGAGACTGAGGAGTGCTCAGACAGGAGGAGAACTAGGAGAGAGCAGTATCACAAAAACCTAAAGAGAAGAGAGTATCAAGGAAAAGAGGGTGATCAGCTGTGTCAAAGGAGGCAAAGACTACAAGAAAGATAAGGATTGAGAAAAGGACTTAGAATTGATAATTAAGAGATCATAGATTTCTCTGGAGACCGTTTCAAGTTGAATTATGAGGTTGGAAGCCAAACTTCAGAAAGTTAAAAAAAAGGATAGGATAGGAAGTGGAAGCATTAGTTGGAGACAGTCTTTTCAAGGAGTTTATCCACATAAGGCAGTAAGATATAGGACAATAGCTACTGCAGGGATTAAAGGAGGATTATTTGAGGATCAGGAAGAAATAGGTATGTTTGTAAGCATTAACTAAAAGTTAGGCTACTTATGCCATCAGACCTTGGCTTTACTCCTAGAGGAATCAGATTGGTTTTCCATGTTTTAGGCCTTTCACAATTTCATTTAATGCTTTGCAATCTTAGCTATTCATATGAAAGAGCTTTTTTCTAGAAACTAGTACAAGTTTAAAAAACAGCTAAGAACAGTAGTGGCCCCATCACACCTTAACTCATTCATGGTTTTGTATGTTGAAGAATTGGCCTTATCTATTAATCAATCAATCAATTAATTAATTAATTAATAGATCATGAACTGGAGGGTTTGATTGAAGAATTTAATCCCTAACACCTGGTAAGCAATGTCTAATTATCTGGGACCAGAAGATGAAGAAACTTTAATCTGTTTTGTTCTATATGCATTAGCTTCTCATCTGGTTAAGAATAAAGATCATGAAAATGAACCTATTTTTGTTTATTCCTGCTTATCACTACAGAATACATTTGATCTTTTTTATCTCATGTTTAAGTTTGTGTTTTTAAGAAAGTTCAGTTGCTAATTGTAATTTTTTTTCAAAATTCAATATCTTTAGTGTGATGAATGAAAATGTTCATGACACAGTATTACATAAATGTTTACCTTTAAAAAAAATTCAAGGGGTAGCTAGGTGGCACAGTGGATAGAGCACTAGCCCTAAAGTCAAGAGGACCTGAGTTCAAATCCGGCCTCAGACACATAACACTTACTAGCTGCGTGACTCTGGGCAAGTCACTTAACCCCAATTGCCTCACCAAAAAAAAAAAATTCAAAATAAAATTTCCTGAAATGTGTTCCACATGTGTCTGCACATCACCTTAGGTAAGGGACAGAAGGATTAGACTATTTCAAGCATTCAGATGCTCCCCAGGAATGGCGGTGAGTGAGCTATAGAAGGTCTTCAGGAAGGGCAGGAGCATGATGAAAGCATTGTTTTAGAAAGATTAATCCAGTAACCATGTGCAGAATGACTTTGATGTCCCTAACAAAAGGCTGTAGATGTAAATTTGTGTTTCTATATGACATTTCTTCCAAGAAAATACCAAAGTCTTGTTACTGATTTTTCCCATTTGGATAGAGATAAGTTTCTCCTAACAATCTGGTGTTAGTGTACTTAAAGAAAATGGTTAGGTGTTCCTAGAAATCTAAATTTAAAATTCTTTTCCTGTCAGCATTCTCAGGATTTATTGTTCAATTCAGCATTGTTAAACACTCTGTACTCAGTGAGGGGAACATAAGAAACTGGAAAGGCATGGTTTCTGTCTTAGAAAGCTTCCAGTCTAATAGAGAAGAAAACTCACATGACAAGTTATATGGTAGTCCAAGGTGGCAGTTTATGATGAAGTACCAAATGAGTGGCCAAGATGGCCATTCTAGATGGAGGAAGGTGTTCAGAGGGAGAGGGGCCTGGACCACACTTCCTTTACAAATGACCTCTGATAGAAATCCAAGATTCTACCAGAGCAGTCTCTTCAGCAAAAGTGTTTGGTTTTGTTGTTTGGTTGGTTGGGTTTTTTAATGCAAAGGCTTAAGCTTGTTGAGCAGTGTAGTCACAACATATCCTCGTGGGCATGTGACGCTAAAATCTTGGAATGCTCTGTGTTATTTTCAGTGACGTTTATATTTTCCAAGAAATTATTCTTCATAGAAGTCCCCCAAGGGAGCAACCTATTGATAATCTTCAAGTGTGTCTGGGTGAGCAGAGTTTATTTGTGTCTACATCTAACCATGTGAATGGACATGAGCCCCTGGATTCCCAAAGCCTGACATCCCTAGATGGGACCTGAATCTGGGATGGAGACTTAGGTTCTTCAAGCCCTGGGAATCTCTTTCTCTCTCTCTCCCCCCCTCTCTCTCTCTCTCTCTCTTTCCTCACCCCTCTGGGCATGCAGTGTGGCCGGAAAAATCTAACCAACAGAAAGTCTGGAAGAGCTCCCCTTGTGTGGGGGAAGAGGGTTGGGTTTGGGTGTGCATGAAGTGGATTTTCCTGGTTCTTCTGTCTTGACTTTTCTAATGCACTCCTATAGTCTGCAATTAAAAATCAGCTACGTTACTGTTCTTGGAAGACCCCAAGGAGGAATCATTGGCTGGATTGGGCATCAGAGAAGTTCTCGGTAAGTAGAGAGTTGACCCAGCAAGAGAAGAGCCATGGAGACAGGGATAGAAAGTACTACCCCATTGTGTGTCTGTGGGTTCTGGATAAGAACATTCCACTTTTGGGGGGCACTTATCTATCCTTCCATTCACCTGTCTTCTGCCTTCCTTTTTACTCTTTATTCATTCCATTCTATTCATTTCCCAACCTTTGTCTCCATTCACTTGTCCTTTTCCTAATTCACCTACCTTTTCTCCCTACCTCCTTCCATCCCTAAGGCTATCCATCTCTCTAAACCTGTACCTATTCCCAGTCTCCTTCAGTAAACCCCATCCCCTTACCTGTCCCTATCTCCTTTCCAGCCTTATCTATTATCTACTCATCACTCTATTTCTCACCTACCTGTCCATCTTCCCATCCTACACTTGTCTCTCCCTATTCATCCATCCATCTTCCTATCCCCCATCCATGTTCATCCCTTATATATTGTTCCATTCACCTTTCCTTCCATAACAATAATGATGATGATGATAATTTCTGCCTAACCCCACCAATCCAGTGGTCTTTCCCTTTCATCTATTTGTCTATCTCTCTATTAATATGCCTACTTTTCCCCCTCAACAGCCAAACGCCTATTCACCTGTCCTCTGTTCCCTCCAGGAGAATCATATCAGTGAAGTGAAGCTTTTCTTTGGGATGTTGCTCTTCCTCTCACCCTTTCCGTTTTTCTGGGCCTTGGTTGAAAAACAGGTAGGAGATTCTACAGGGGAAGTTGTGTTTGAGGGGCTGACGGGAATGAAGTTAAAAAGTAGATGGCAGCCAGTGTAGGAAGGTAGGAGACCAGTAGTTGGTAAGAGAGAACTAAGAGTAGTGTTGGGGGAAGAAGTAGAGTGGGTTTCATGTATTTATTGAGCCCCTATCATATGTTCTGCATTGCATGCACAGTGGTGCAAGAGAGACAAAGGAGAGATGGTCTCTGGCCTCAGGGAGTTCATGGTCTAGTCAAAAGATAAGTACATATTACTTTCTCCATTAAGCTCATGTTCTAGTTGGGATATAAGCTACATCCCTGCCCTCATGGAGCCTACAGTTTAGTAGGGAAATAAGAAGCAAATACGAATAACTGCATAAAGTAGAAGGTGAAAGTACATTTAAAAGAAGTATATAGTTCTATGTTAGTTCAGAGTAGAGAGAGATAACTTGGAGATGGGGGTATCAGGGAAGACTTCACAAATCTGATGTTTGAAGCACTACTTGAAATACAGGTAGGCATTTGATAAGCAGATCTGGAAACCTGGAGATGTCACTCTAGAGGAAAGGAAGAGCATGAACAAAAGCAGAGAGGAAGGAAGCTTGGTGAAGATAAATCAGTTGAGTTTGGCTGGATATTGGGGTAGATGAGAGGTAATAGGAAGATAAAGACTGGAAGGTTAGGTTGGGTTCCAAGGGGCCTTGAATGCTGGGTAAAGAAGTTTAAATTTTATTTATTAATAGGGAGCCATCAAAACTTTTTGAGTAAGGGGGGCAGGTGGTGTGACAAGACCAGAGCTATGGGTAACAAGATTAATCTGGCAGTATGTGAAGGATGCATTGGAATGGAGAGAGACTGAGAGTGGGGAAAGTAATTAGGAGACTTTTTCAATAGCCCCCGTGAGAGTCAGAACCCTGAACCAAGGAGGTAGAGATGGAAATACGGAAGAGGGAATGGATTTAGAAAACATTACAAAGCAAGAAAGGACAGAACATAGCAACTAATGACTTTTGGACTGACTGAAATGGACAGCAAAAATGGCTAAAGGGTAGTTGATATTCAATATAAATAAGATGATAGTAAGAGAACACTTAACTACCTTTGATGAGTTCAAGTCACCAAGCCCGGAAGATAGCTAGGGTACTGAAAGAATTGGCAAGTGTGATTGGCAGATGAGCTCCTGAATAGGAAAAGTCCCACAGGTCTGGAAAAGGAGAAAGTTGGAAAAATAGAAGGAAAGATATAGAAATTTGCAAATGATCATTCAATAAGTCTTGAATAAGTGGCTGCTAAGTGCTAGGCACTCTAGGAGGCACAGGGGATACAAAGAGAAAAATGAAACCAGCCCTGCCTTCAGGGAGCTTGCATTCTATCAAGGACATTCCACAAGATACTGAGCTTGACTAAGACCCTGGCACTTTAGCATGTATTTTGAAAGAAACAGCATACATCTCCTGAAGGAAGTAGTGATCATAAAGAGGTGACATGGAAAATTTCATTCAGAACTAGCCATACCAGAGAAGCTTCTTTCTTTTCTTGACAGGCAGGGTTACTAGACTGGTCAACCAGGAGAATGCTTTTGATGCAGTTTATCTCAATTTTAGGAAATCATTTGAACAGTGTCTCCTGCTTTTCTTATGGACAAAATGGAGAGCCGTAGGCTAGACCAGAAGCCAGCAAAGTATAGGTGGCCCAAGTTCAGCTGCCTGTTTTCATACAACCTGTGAGCTATGAATGGTTTTTATATCATTAAATAAAGTTTTATTGTATTTTAAAATGTAAAAACCATTCTTAGCTTGGGAGCTATTGAAAAAAAAAAAAAACAGGCAGCACTAACCCCTGGAGCTAGATAATTGTATGATTAGGTGGTTTCAAGACCCTAGGGAAACATTAATGGTTTGATATCAGCTTAGAAGTAGATCATCTCCATGTAATTTTATTAGTGGCGTGGATATGGTCATAGGTGACGCACTTATCAAATTTGCATGACACTGGGAGGGATAGCTAGCTGTGTTTTGAATGACAGCATCAGGGTACAAGTTGATCCCAGTAGCAAACACTGAGCTAAGTTTAATTAGATTAAATTTCAAAGGGACCAAAAGCAACTTCACAAATACAAGATGGAGAAGGCATGGCTAGACAGCCAAATCTGAGATTTTTAGTAGACTACAATAATAAGCCAATGATGAGACATAGTAACTAAAACTGACAGTCAGATGCCAGTTACATTGAGGGACACAGAGTGTCCGGACCTAGGGAAGTCAGAGGCCTACTTTACTCTGCCCTGGGCATACCTCATATAGAGGACTGTGTACAGTTGTATGCCCCAAATTCTAGGAAGGGCCTTGATAAACTGGATAATAATTGGAAAATAGTTGAATAAATTGGAAAGCAATTAAATGGTGAAAGTCCAGATCATACCATATGTGGATCAGGTAAAGGAAATGAGGGAGAACATTAAGCCTGGGTAAGAGGAGACATGAGGGGACACAATAGCTGTCACCAGATACAGGACATCCCCAGAGCCCTAGTGCAGTGTTAAGGCTTTGGGGACACCCTCTATTTGAAGGGCTGACATGTGGAAGAGGGGTTACTAGATTTGTTCTGCTTGGGCATAACGGGTAGAATTGGGAGCAATGGGTAGAAGTTGGGGGAAAAGACAAATTTAGATTTGATATCAGGAAAAACTTCCAAACAATTAGAGCTGTCCAAAAAGTGAAATGGGAGATTGTGGTTTCTCCCTCACTTGAAAAAAAGAATGATGGCTTCTTGAGTCTGTTGTAGATCATAGCAATGTGGTCCTCAGTTTGACTTAGTTCAGCAGATTCAAGGATTCTTTTTAAAACGTTCAGCAGGCACTTGTGATTCATAAAATCGAACTCAAAACTACTTTAGTAATTAAACATTACAAGCACAGAATCCAAGCATAAAAAGGACAGCAAATGTAACTCTCCTTCTAGAGTCACTGAATCAGGAGCTCCATCTGGTGAAGTCAATGGAATCCCTTCTCTGAACAATGGTTTAAATGCATTAAGAAATGCATAAGATTAGAAAGGAAACCAACTCTATTGAAATACAGTTATCAAAATATTTTTAGAAAGTAAGTTTATGGGCCCCAGGCTCTGCTCTATACACTTACACTTCCCTGTAACCCAGGAGAGCTGAGTATTCTTCTCTGGGGGGGAAAGAAATCTACCAATTATATTATTGGATATTTTTTATCCAATTATTTTATTGGATATTATTTTTATTAGATAGGGTGGAACCAAGGGTAAATCAGGTCTGTCCCCTCACACCTTTTTGTATATCCCCTGACCTCCATCATATCCAGGTGAAATCAGGTTAAAGTAGATAACAGAGGTAATCTCAAAAGTGGACAATTCAATAATTCAATAAACATTTAGCAAATAAATAAACAAATAAATAAAAAGTTGTAAGTAGTTGGAGCTCAGGAAAAGAGTTGTTTCCCTGTCTCCAGGCCAATCCTTGTTCAATGAAAACCATCGAGTGGAAAGCACCAGCCAGCTCTGAGCTAAGGGCTGCTATGGCCAGACAGAGTGGCCACAGCAGATGCCACAGTCCCACAAGCCCACTGGAGCTCCAACCTCAAAGGGATTCTTGGGTATGGGCTCTAAGGTGCCTTCTGACTCTGAGATTCTGGAATTCTGGAGTTGTATATGGGAGGGCAAGGAGAGGTAGAAGTCAAAACATGAATTTGAGATCTCCAGCATGGAAAATTTGGGGAGCTTATGGTTCTTCCAGGGCACATGATGATAAGACACCTTTTTATCCCTCAGGAAATAGAATGGATTTTACAAGCTAAGAAGATGAATCGTTTTGTGGTCAGTGCTATGTGACTATGTTCCTCTTCTCCCCTCCCCTTTCCCTCATAGTGTGTTTTCATCTTTGTATTTATCTTCTATTTGCGACATTCCTTGTTTCCTCTCTCCCCTCTCTCACCCCAACCCCTATTAAGTAACCCATGGCCAGAAACCCTAAAGGGAGGGGAATGAGAGAGGAGTACTCCCAGAGGGCCTTGGAAAGACATGAGTGCAAAGATGGTACAGGAAAAAGATTTTCCATTGCATGCTAGGGGTATGGAAAGTTCTTGGTGCTAGAGGAAGGTCATCCAGGCTCAAATGCCTTTCTCTGAGGAGTGATTAAGAGAAACTTAAATTTGGAGATAACCCTGGATGCCAGATCAATCCCAGGGCAAGAAGGGTGTTTTCAGATGCCTCCAACTAATGCAAACACATGAGGAAATCAAAGGTAGAACTTTGGATTGAGAAGACTATGGTGCTAGATCCTCAGTGGCAGTGTTCACACACACACACACACACACACACACACACACACACAAATGTATATGATATATGTGTGCATATACATATATTAACACATTATGTATTTCATAAACATGTGTATGTATTCATTGTAAGGGAATGTCCAGAAAGGAAAGGCCTTCAATAGCCTTAGTTGGTTCTCCAGACTATGTCTCCTATGCCTCGCTCCCCTAGATCTCCCCAGACACTAGGGACTTACCCAGTCACTACCACCACCACACTGCCTCCAGGAGGTCACTGATCCCCCCTCAATACTAAGACAAGACTGTCACTCCCAAGTATGGAAGGATTCTCAAGCCCTCCAAGAATGGGCTTTCTCATAAGTGGAATGTGTTCCATGGGCCTGTGGGTGTTGTTTTTTAGGTGTATGTTTGTGTCTAGATTTGTGTAGGCCTTTGCCCTGACAATCCGGATTGCAACCATTCCTCAGATGAGAGAGTTTCCAGACTTTCCCATCTTTGTTGCCTTCTCATCCAACTTCTAACTTGTTTAACAGCCTATTCACACCCTTTCATCCTCTGGGCTCCTGGTCTGTGTTCTCCAGTAAATCCTCCACACACAAGGGATCCACCCCAGTGTGCTAGGGGTTTTCCACTCAATTTCTTGGCATCACATGAGTGATGAGCATGTGAGCTGTTGATTTGTCTCACTTTTACTATGTGATGGGCCTGGCTCTTTTTCCAGGCATACTTGTCTCAGACATCTTTTACACTGCTTTATGTGGTCGTAAGATTTAATAAAGGTAACCTGAGGTGCAGAATTCTGAGCTTTTATCAGTTTATTAGCAGGGCATGAACCTGATGAAATGGCTACCTCAGTTAGGCCAAAAAACCCGGAGGAGGAGCTATAACTCCTTTTTATAAGGGCAGAAGAAAGAACAGAACTAGAAGGATGAAGAAAACAGTTGGTGATCAGGTTGACAGCATCATGGGGGTGAGGACAGGATGGGTCACATGAAGAAGAGGGGGTCAACACACATGTGGAGCCAGCAACCACCCCTTTTTGCCTTACAGGAACGCTTGGTTGGTTTATGGGACCCAACTGCATCCTGAGATTATTGATGGTGCACCAGAGATAGCAGACTCCCTGACCCCTTTAATTGATAAGACTCCCGCCCCCCTTTAATTAGGCAAAGATAGGGGTTAGCTTGTAGGCCTACAAAGATGGCAAACAGATGTCATGTAGTTTTTCAGGAGCTGAAGTTAGGAGGGATGACAAATTTTCTAACTAGCTCAGAGGGGTAGCTAAACTCCTGTGACTAAGAAATTGTTCATTTTTTGAGTCCACCTGCAAGGTTAGAGATGGTGGACTGGACTCCCTGGTGTCCACCTGCATCCTTCAAGGATAACAGATTTCCTTGAGGCAAGAATAGAACAGTGATTAATAGAAGAATTAGATTTCTAAACTTAACTCAATACCGGCCAGCTGAATTTCTGAACTAAGTTTAGAGACAAAGAACCATGACTTAGGCAGTTACAGAACAAAATCAATTAATTGCAAATAGGATCAATAAAAATTATACAGAACTTAGCCTATATCAGATTGCGCCCTGTCTTGGGGAGAGAGGGGGAGAGAAATTTAAAACTCAAAAGCTTATGGAAGTGATTGTTGATAAATCAAAATAAATTAATAAAAAAATTAAGTAAAAAAAAGATGCATCTTAAATTTTAAAAAAATGATACAGAACCAATTTAATTTTCTCAATGTTTGCAGTTCATCATTCATAATACATTATAGCCTACTCAATAGCCACCATATGTCTCTCCATTGCCTCAGGGCAGGGGTGGGGGTGGGGGTAGGGGGACAAGACTTGATTTCTTAGAGGCTATAGTCTCTCATGATTCAAAGGAAGAACAGTTTTTGTTTAAAAAGATAAGCCTTTGTTTCAAGGAGAAGTTTGGGGTTCATTGAAAGCTTTGCAATTTCTTAAATCATTGCATTTATTAAGTGTTTGCAATTTCCAAAAGTCATTCCAGCCAATTCTCTTCAATTTCTGTCCTATTTCATTGTCCATATTCAGTGACTGGGAAGTCTCAATATCCATCTATGGAGAATTCCTCTTCAAAATGGACTCTTCTGGATCTCCTCCATGACAGTGGTAGATGCTTTTTTGGCCTTACTTGAGATTAATAATCAGAGGGTCATTGAACAATGACATCTCTGTTGTTATGTCTTCTGAGGAATCTTGGATAATTCTTACATGTGCATGGGAGATGACATAGTGAAAGAAGGGATGTTAAGATGGCATTCTGCTGTTATGAAATGCTTATAAAAATAATCCACAAACAGAGATATTGGGATCTTGTATTCACTTCCTCTTTCAAATTAATTGAGTGATAGTAAATACAGGGTGTCCCAAAAGTCTTAGTGTAGTTATAAACAATTAAAACTAAGACTTTTGGGACACCCTCTATGTAGACTTATTCCTTCTAATTAGACCCTCATCAAGGATGCCCTCAATTCACATGTAGATTATTTTCATAAAACATAAGTATGGATGGGAAAAAATAGGTTTCATGTGTTCATGTCAGTTGCCTTTGAGGGGAAGAGGATAATAACAGCTTAGTCTAAGACATCTTCCACACCTTTCATATATTCTCTTTCTTTGAGAATTGATCCCTCAGCATTTCAAAACTGTGTCACCTCCAGCCTCGACCTCCTCTGTGGATGCTTTATCTAGGCCAACTGCTTTTCTCATCTTTATTTTTCTCCAGTGTGCCTTCTGATTTTTTTTTTCCTCCAAGGCTATTTCCACTATTTCAGGCAGCACATCTGGGGACCATAATGTTAAAATTAAAATGTCTTTGATGGTGAAAAGAATTTGTTTTCAAAATCTTTAGAGGTCTTTTCCATTGTCATCTGTTTCTTGTCCTTCTATCACATTACTCTGCATTGATTTTATACATATACTGTATTTATTTCTCTCCAAACTTCTTGTGTCTTCCACGGGGGAAAGAGGGTCAACTCTTTGAGGTCAGAGACCATCTTAGTTTTGTCTTTATGTGTTCGGTTCCTGGCACACAGTAGGCCTTTAATAAATGCTTATTAATTGGTTGATTAATTCATTAATCCTTTGGAGTTGATTTTACTTAGCTGGGTTTCTTGCCAAACTTTCTTTAAACGCATTTTCTTTCCCTGCTTTTCTCTGTTTAATGAAATGATTTGTGTTATTCAGTAGTTTCTGTCATGTCTGATTCTTCAAGACCCATTTGGAATTTTCTTGGCAAAGATACTGAAGTGGTTTGCCATTTCCTTCTCTTACTCATTTTACAAATGAGGAAACTGAGGCAAACAGGGTTAAATGACTTGCCCAGGGTCATCCAGCTAGTAAGTAGCTGAGGCCAGATTTGAACTCAGGAAGATGAGTCTTCCTGACTCTAGGCCTGGCATTCTATCCACTGAGCCACCTAGTTGCTTTCATGAAATAACACCACTCATCATCTCCTCCCATCCACTTCCATAAGAGTTTTTAAATGAGTTTCTAAATTTATATTCTAGTCTAGTATTGCCCTCTAGCTGCCACACATCTTCATTTGGCAAGGAGGTCAAGTATTTTCTGACTAACACAATTTTTAGACTTTTTAAGTCTCTTCATTATGGCAAATTGACTTACATTGGTTAAAGTTCTATACAGAATTGTCATAATCAGTGCTGATGTTCTTTTCTCCACTTCCCATTTGGGAGCATTAGTAACTATTTAAACAGACCAGTTTGGAGTTGTTTTAATTGCAATACCACATCTTTTTTTTCATTTTGTTATTATTTCCTCCAGTTTTATATTAATTTTGATCTCTTAACAAGTTCAGCAGTTGGACTGTAACATTTGGCATAGTGAATTGAACTTGGAAATCAGGAAGGCCAGCATTCATATCCCACCTCAGACACTTACTAGCTGTGTGACCCTGGGTAATTCATTTAACTTCTCAGCTGCAGTTTCTTTCTCTATAAAGTGGGAAAACATAGCATATACTCACGGGGTTGTTGTAATGAGCAGATAATTATACAAAAAGCAATTCAAAGACCTTTAAGTGCTAAATCAATGTTAGCTATATCACTGTTATTATTATTATGCAGACTGATTCAAGAATGACTCCCACATCAATAATGAATCATTTCCTGTCCATTAAAATAGAATCAATTTTATTTTGTTTTTGGTGATTTTATTTGATGCTGACTGTATCTAGTATGTCTCAATTCTTTCCTTAAATAAAGTATTAGTGCTTCAGAGGTGTGAGGTTTCTTCACAGTCTATAAAAATTTGGCCTCTCATTCCTTACTCCTGAACCACAATTTTTAGCAATATTCTTGTCCATGCCCGCTTTTGCATTGAAGTGACTGAGTATCAAAATAGGTTTTGATTTAACTTGGAGGGTCTTAGAGAATTCTTCTTAAAACTTCTGCAACAGATAGAGGTACATAAACTGCAATCATTATCACAGCAGTCTTATTACAAATATTTATCATTAGTATTCCAATACAAGATGACCAAACATCCCCTAGCAAGAGATTTCTTGTTGCCTTTGACATGATATGAATCATGTCATGAAACAGAGAAAAGCAGGGAAAGAAAATGCATTTGAAGAAAGCTTGGCAAGAACTCAGCTAAGTAAAATCAACTCCAAAGGACTACTGAATTAATCAACCAATTAATAAGCATTTATTAAAGGCCTACTGTGTGTCAGGAACTGAACACGTAAAGACAAAACCAAGATGGTCTCTGACCTCAAAGAACCAATGCCACTAGCTTCTTAATTTGTATCTCCAAGGACAGCATCAGTGTCATCCTATTTAATTAATATTTCCCTTTGTCTTCTGGTTTTGTTTTACGTCAAAAACATCAAAATTGACATTACTTGTTGGTCATTTGACAATGTTCTTACATTCAGAGTAATAATAACTAAGTGAATGTTTAGAAATGGTTTTTAAAAAATTATGGGATTCTTAGCCCCCTCTGGTCCTTTGTTCATTAGGAAGATTCATTTGATCGTGGCATGAAGAATTGTGGCAGAGAGAGACTGGAGGTTGGGTACCTAGTTATAAGGATACTAAGTAGTCCAGGCAAAATTTGCTGAGCACCTAAATTAGGAGAATGGAGGTGGAAATAGAGGGGGAGTGTGTGTAGGCCAGAAGTATTGTGAAGGTCTTGGCAGTCAGGTAGATATAGGTAGTGAGGAAGAAGGAATCAAAAAGATAATTCTGGGATTTCAAAGCCAGTTGATGGAGAGAATAGCAACCATTTCAAATGCTGCAAGAGAGGCCAAGGAGGATGAGGATGAATAAAAGTCCACTGGATTTAGGAAAACAGATGTCAGTATGATGAGAATGCAAAGGGTTAATGAATGGATAGTGAAGAAGTGAAGGGAGCAAATATCAACCACCTCCCCACCGCCACCTGCACCCCACCCCTGCCCCAGAAGTTTGACAGGGAAAGGCAGAATAGACAAAAAGGTAGTTTGAGGAATTGGGGGTTTGGAGGAAGGTTTTCTTTTCTTTTTTTCCCTAAAGGATTGAGGAAGAACTGAACATTGTAGGCATATGGGAGAAGGAGACAGTGAAGAGAGAGGCTGAGCATACATGACAGAAAAAGAATTTTAGATGAAGAAAGTGGAGGTTGGTGTTAGTTTTGGAAAGGAGGAAAGTCATCTCATCCTCAGAAAAGAGCAATTTTGAGATAAGGAGAGAGGAAGGAAATTGAGACAACCCTTCTCAAACGGCCTTGAACTCAGATAGTAAGAAAAGTGGGGTTTGGATTTGGGAAAGTGAAAAAAAAAGATCAGAACAGCCTCTTTGGGGAATGAAAAATGGAGTAAGCTGGAGAGGAAAAAAAGGATTTCTGAAGAAAAGCAGAGAGGGATCAGATGAGATTTGATAACATGAATTTGTAAAACTGAGTGACATAGAAAGCACATGACGGAGGTGACCAACTCAGAATGGCAAATTAATATATTATATGTGGCTGAAGGGTAAGAGACAAGGGATTCCAGAATAAGAGACAGGGAGAACTTGAAATGGTTAGGAAGACAAGACTAGGAGGCGACAATGATCTGGGAGCATAAAGTGGGCACTGAGGACTGGAAGTTATAATGAGGGCACAGATGTTAACTGAAAGAAACTTCCTCCTAATAAGATCAGGTATTTATTGGAAGATGGGAACTAAAGTCCAACATATTGACTGTAGACCCACTTTCAAGTCATCTCCACATTATGGTTCTTGCACTCCAGCTGTCTTCCCCATCTCCCCTCATCCCAACCCCAACTAGACAGTTAAGACTATGCCCCTAGGATGCCAGGTACAGTTGATGAGTTTCATGTTATGCTGCCTGGAACTATGCCTCCATGCAACCGGCGGCCATCTCCACTCCTTCCTCTACTGGTGTCCACCTCTCCTTCCTTCTTTCCACATGCTCTTTTTGTGTTATCTTCCTTCATTAGTATATAAGCTTTTTTTTTTTTTTAGTGAGGCAATCGAGGTTAAGTGACTTGCCCAAGGTCACACAGCTAGTACCTGTCAAGTGTTGGGTCTGAGGCCGGATCTGAACTCAGGTCCTCCTGACTTCAGGACCAGTGCTCTATCCACTGCGCCACCTAGCTGCCCCTGTACATAAGCTTCTTGAGACAGGGAATGTCTAGTTTGCTTGTATTTGTGTCCGTAGTGCTTAGCACAGTACCTGGCACACAATAAGTGAATAATAAATGCTGTCAATCTGTCATCATCTGTCTACCTATCTATCATCTAAAATAACTGTAAGAGATAATGTAGTCCAAGATATGCTTGTGCTGGAGAAAAGACAAGAGTGAAGAAGATATCATAGAATCACATGTTTAGAAGTGGAAGAGGCCTTAAAGTTTATCTAATCCATCCCCCCACACACACACACACACATTTTAGAAGTGAGGAAACTGAGGCACAGAGAGTTGAGTGATTTGTCCAGAGTCACACGGTAATAAGTAAGTAAGCAGTAAGGATGATAGCTAATGGAGCAGAAGATATTGATGGTCAAGATAGAGGTTCTTTCTGTCTTTTTGTGGAGGAAATCTGGATAGCCTGAAAATTTCTGACCGATTCCACCATCTTCCCAGACTACCTCGGGTCTTAAGTGTGACTGTTGAGGTCAGTATTGATGATAGCAAGGTATGAAGTAAAAAAGGAGGATTGTAGGGGCAGCTAGGTGGCGCAGTGGATAGAACATTGGCCCTGAAGTTAGGAGGACCTGAGCTCAAATTCGGCCTCAGATCAAACACTTGACACGTACTAGCTGTGTGACCTTGGGCAAGTCACTTAACCCCAATTGCCTTACCAAAAAAAACAAAAACAAAACCAAAAAAAAAAAAAGGAGGATTGTGAGCCAAGTCCTGAGGTCATTAAGGAAGATGTGAGTAAATACGGAAGTCTGTTAGACCATAGCAGTGAGGGTGTGGGAGAGTGTGATATAAGTGCACAATGTATGTATTAATGAAAAAAATGAGGCTGTTGAGTGATGGTCACAGAGCCGTGGCATGGAACTGGCAATGAAGAACAAGGAATAGACAGATTCTTCCTCTGGAATGCATATGCGGAGTCTATATCAGATTATGCGACATCTTGGTTAGGGAGATGGGCAGGGAGGGGGAGAAGATTTAAAACTCAAAAGCTTATGGAAGTGAATGTTGAAAACTAAAAATAAATAAATTTTTAAAAATTCTTCCTCTGCTTGCTGTAAATCCAGGAAGTTAGAGAAAGTATGACTTCCACCGGAAGTGATATCATCAAGGGAGAGGCAATCATGATGAGGAGGTGGAGATAACAGTGGTAGAAACAGTAGAAGGCTAGGAGAGTTTGCACACGGAGATAGAACAGGCATTTGTGAGGACACAAAGGAAAAAGCTGGTAGATGAGTAGGTGCAGATAGAGTAGGCCAAGGGGTGGCTAAGGATGAGAATAAGGGAGATTGTTAAGGCCTTGGGCCCAGATGAGAAAGAACAGATCCTGAAAGTACTCTTCCCAAAACCCACCTCCCTCCCCCAGATAAAAGGCAACAAAACCTTAAGATTATAGGTTTAGAAGGGAACGCAAGGGACGTTGGAGGCCACTGAGCTCAACTCCTGCCTTTTATAGATGAGGAAACCGAGGCCCCAAGAAGTTACGTGGTCACGTTGATGGTGAATATTAAACCCGGATCTTCTTGGCTGACTCCAAGTCTAACGTTCCAATCACCACGGCACCTAGCTACCTCCTTCTGAAGACTAGCAACGATGAGAGCTCTCTGGCTTTGATCCTTGTTTCCTGCTTCTGGGGTCAGGAGGATAGGTCCCAGGCTTTCCCCCACAGCCTGCCTACCAGTGATCATTTTGGCCCTTGCCCTATGATTCTTGGAATCTTTCCAGAGGTCCTAGATGCCTGCATGTTAATGCACAGACGATGCATATCCTTCAGTCATTAAGGTGTTCTTACTGTGTTTCAGGCTGGGCATTCTGTGAGAAATGAGGACATACAGGTATGAAAGTTGTATGAGGACATGCAAGTATGAAGGTATCTCCCTTCCTCTACCTTGCCTCACCGCTACCCTTCCTTTGTTACCCAACCCTTCTCCCCTTCTTAAAACTACCACCCTCACCCTCACTTATTCACAGAATCATGGCATTATAAGATCCTAAGTTTAGAGCTGGAAGGGACCTTAGAGGACATTGAGTCCAATCCCCTGATTTTACAGATGAGAGCCCTGAAGCACAGAGTAGTTAAGAGACTTACCCAGAGTCACACAGTTGCTAAAAGTCTGAGGCAAGATTTCAACCTAGGTCTTCCCGACTCTGGACTCAGCACCCGATCTGCTGCTACATGCTGCCATATCTTTACTCCTCTCTCCTTCCTGATCATCATCCTTCCTCCTCCCACTGTCTTTTGGTATCCTTTTTGCCTCTTCCCTCTCCTTGGGTCTCTTTTCCCTTCCCCCTCTCATCCTCCCAATAGTCATCTTCCTTCCCGAATGGTAGATTCTGTCCTAGAGACCTCTCTGCCGGTCATGGGATGATATGGGGAGAGGCCACAATCATAGGGACAAAGATGATTGGGAGTGGGGTGTGAGGAGGGAGGAGCACCAAGGGAAGCACTGACCTTCTTTCTTCCCTGGCCCAGATGATTTTTTCTGCTGTCGTCCTGATCAACCTCATTTTAATGGAACTGGTTTTCATCCCCTCCATAGAGTGGCTTGGAATGAACTTCTCGTAGGTGTCTGTCTCTTGGGTTGGACTCCCCTGGGGGGGTGGGAGAGCGAGCCGAGGGCCTTTGTTTCTAAATGTCCAAAATGGGAGAAACTCCATATGTATTTCATAACCTCACCCTTTCCACCATGGTGGCTACTACCCTTACTTTCCTCTGCCTGATTAATTCACTTTGTTTCCCCCTCTCTCCTAGATTAATAAAGAAAACAATGATAGGAATGACCCTAATTTACTTCTCAAGCCTAATATCATTCCTCCTGGAACTACGAATTGAGGTGAAAGGGGATGGGGAGGGCAGTGAGGGGTCTCTAAGGAGTTTCCTGAGTGGAATCAGGGAGGTTGTCCAGTGATGGCAGACATGAAGGGGCCCATCTTCCCCACTAGGGAGAACTTTCCACAGCAAGGACTTCCCAATAGGGCAGTTGGTGGCTAATATAAGTTTGGGAAGGAATCTTCCTTCTCTGTCCCTCTAGCAGCCTAATCACAAAAAGGGTCAGAGGGTGATTCCAAGAATGAGTGGAGGGAGGCAATTCATGACAAGGAGATGAGATGGGATGTAGGAAGATGAGGATGTTTTTTGACAGATAGGAGTTCCTGGCAGGCAGATCAGGGGAATGCTTGGATTAAAGCACATCTCTTAATGCTATCCTTACGGACAAAATGGAGCACACAATAGTACCATTGGGTGGGTTCAGAATTGGTCAAATAACTGTAGCCACTAACTCACCATAAATGGCTCACTGTTAACTTAGAGAGACAGGAGTTCAGGGGCAGGGTCAAATCCCCTTATCACCTCCACTCTGATAGAAAGTGATAAGAGGAGCACAAAAGGGACATACGGAGGTGAGCATGGATATGGGGGATTTGTGGAAGTAAGGATGCATGGAAGGAATGTGAGGTGATGGGCCCTTCCTCTCTGTCCAAGGGATCCCATGAAAAGAGTGCTGGATTTGGAATTCTAGGACCTGGGTTTGAATTGGGATTCTGCTACTTGGAAAGGGAAGGAGAGGTCATCAGCCATGGACATATTCATCCATGCATGCATATAAGAGTGTGGTCTGATGGAGATGTGAAGAGGTTAGAGATATATGGAAGGGACATGGGGGAACATGAAAGGTCCAGGTATGCTTACATTAGATTCCTAGGGGGTTGATCAGTGGGAACAGAGTGGAGCTATAGTGAGGCTCTGTTGAACTTTGTTCCATCAGAAGTCTCCCAACATCCTGCCTGGCACCAGGGAGAGCTTCCTGAGAATCATTAATGTAGCTGACATTTCACTTAATGTGACCTTTCTTAAAAACAACAGCTATATGTCCTACTCCAGAATGTCCCGAGTTTTTCAGGTGAGTATGTGTCTATGTATCTCCATGTGTCTGTATGTGTTGAGACTAGGCCTTTATTCTTTGTGCATTCCTGTGCATGTCTTTGTACATCTGTGTGTCTATCCTGGACTCTGACCTTGGATTAGACCACCTGCCCATTTGTCTCAGCTGTAACTTCTAGACTCTATATGTTGTTTACTTAACCATAAGACCTATCCAGCTAAGTACATACAAGATCATACACTTAAGCTCTAGAGGGACCAAGAAAAGTTTTTGGTAGAAGTAGCATCTAAGATGAACTTTGTGATCAGGTATGACTACATTCTGGGCATGGGCCACAAACTATTTCAAGATCCCAATGTAGGAGAACAGCAAATATCTAATTTGGCTAGAATGGAGGGTAGGTGAAGTGAAGTCACGTGAAATGCCATATTGTGCAGGCTTCAAATGTAAAGCTGAAGAGTTTGCACTTTCTCTTGGAGGCAATAGGTAGCCACTGAAGATTCTTGAGCAGCTGAGTGCATGGCCAGCATAGACAGAGAGAGGAGAGAATCAAATGGGCTGATAGACAAGTTATTGTTTTAGCATTTCTATCTTTCCCATTTTAGATTCAATAGCTGGAAGGTAACAGTAAAATAATAGAGTCACCAGATCATATACTTAGAGCTGGAGGGGACCTAAGAGACCAGCTACTCAAACACTTCAATGGCCCTGTGATCTCATCAATATGGCGAGTCTTTACAAGAAGGATCGTAACCCATCCACGTCTGCCCAACATGCTTGACTCTTCTCATAATAATGCTAAGGGCTCTCCCCCTTTATCTCTTGCCATTGCTTGGATCCCAGTGAAAAAGATGGTTGACTGTAGGGTATCCCTCACTCTCGCAATATGACCAACTTGGTTGGTTTTGGTTTTTTTTTTCCAGTCATCCATTTTTCTGATGATATCCTTTATGATGCCTCTCCTATGCAATTCCTCATTTATATCTTACACCTTACATGTACCACTCCATTGCCCTTTGGGTAATCCTAAGCTTGAATTCTCCAGAAACTAGTGTTTGGTGATTTATAGCATAATCAGGAAAACCTTGATGTTGAAAAGATGGCCTTTTGTTTCAGGGAGAAGTTTGAGATCATGAGAAGAACTTTGCAATTTCCCCAAAAGGCCATCCAGGCTACTCTCTTCTTGTTCAGTTTAGGCTGAGATCTATATTTGCATGGTCTATCCAAATTTATAATTTTACCTATATACACATGCACACAGTTTTACATATCTAATATATATTTATACATATGCTCCATATATGGATATGTGTATGCATATGCATATTTATAATTATATATGTATGTATGTGTAATATATACACATATATACACACACTGATGAAAGGTTTACACTGGATCCCAAGTTCTATATATATATATTATCTATCTAACTTCATATCCTAGTCCAGACAACATATATTTTTCAGCCACTTGGTTTTTCCTGTGTGGATAGTCAGGCTAAACTCTTCTACATGATTATGGGGTCTCGTTTCAGAAACTTTGCCATGTGCCGGGGCTCGATGGAATTAGCACAGTCATGAATAAACAGGAGCATCTAGAGAAACTCGTCATCTACAGGGAATCCCTTGTTAATAGGGACTCTTTGAGATAATACTCTACGACAGTTTCAAATACACATCTCTCTGTTTCCTACTTGCTTAATATTACAAGGTAGAAAGTTACTGAACAAAATTATCTCCTGTAACACTTGTCAAGGAATCTGGGATGATTTTTGACAAATAGATGGGAGACACCTTATTGTATTAGTCTTGCTTCTCTGAATCAAATTTTCTTTATAGTCAATAAAAAATAATAAACTTTGAATGCATATGCATTCTCTTCTCATTAAATACTTACAGAGGTGAAAAAATAGACACACGGCTTGGGAGTGACTTACATGCTCCTTTCGATCATGATAAGGTCCAAGATTATTTCCAGGTCTTTAGTCTCCTCCCTTTCTTGTGGGATTCCCCCTCTTCCCCCCAGTATTATATCCATAATAAGTTCTTAATAAAAGTTAGTTTAGTTAAAGTGAAATGAATGATCCAGTTTTAATTAGGGAAAAGCAGCAGTCCAGCACCTGTTCCGATAACTGATTCACTATTCTATTTCATTTCCATGCCAGGTTTCTCTGGTTTGTTTTCCAAACTCCTCATTCGTTTCTTCGTACAGTCTAGATGGACAGCAATATACTCTAATGACAATATCATTTCTGTCTCCTAGCAAGAGGGGAAGAAGGTAGTTGGAGCCAGAAACTCGACCACTCTGCTCTCCTCAGAGAAAGGAGGTACCAAGCTAGAATCATATCTGTATGATCCATTGCATATTGTTAGTCTAGGGAATGTGGTTTTAAGGTTCAAGCTAAACCTCTGATCGTTATTCATGAGGACCTATGTGTTATATCCAAGCCTTGACTCCCCACCAATCCCCACCAGTTCCACAATGAACACACACATTTGTTGTTCAGTCATTTCAATCATGGCTGACTCTTCATGACACCATTTGGGGTTTTCTTGTCAGAGATACTACAGTGTTTTGCCATTTCCTTCTCCAGCTCATTTTACAGATAAGGAAACTGAGGCAGACAGGGTAAAGTGACTTGCCTAGGCTCACACAACTAGTAAGTGTCTGAGGCCAGATGTGAATTCAAGAAGATGAGCACTCTATCCACTGCACTACCTAACTGCCCACACATGGCACTATCCAATTCGATAACGAAACAAAAATCAGTAAAAGTATATGTAGGAATATATATTATACCAGACAACACACAGTGAAGAAGCTTTCCCATTGGGACAACTTGAGAGAGTCTCAGATCTTGCACAAGGAGAAATTCCCCAAAGTCTTTAGCGTAACAAGCTGAGGATAGAGACATAGTGGAGACCACCAGCTCCTCTCACTTTGGCTTCTTCCCAGAGTCTTGTTCTCTCTTCAAGAACCTGAAGTGGGGTTCTCATCCATCTTCCCTCTCAAGGCTGGAAGCCAGAAAGAAGTGCCAGAAGCAGCTGCAGAGCCCAAAGAGACTGAAGAGACTTGAAGAAAGTCAATAGACTAAAGAGACACAATCACTGAGTAAGAAAGAAGAGGGAATCTCTGTTTTCTCCTGCTTCTCACCAACTCTGCCCACCCTCATGGAGGCACAGAACATTGATCTTCACCAATGAGTAGAGAGTTCCATAACGATAGACTTTGAGATTTGGGTAACATTCCTCCTCTGAGCCAAAACTCTTTATAGTCCCTTGCAAAGGTCACCTGGGGCAAGTCTAAAACGTTCAACTCTACAGTATAAACACAAACATCAGCACTTTGAAATAAGAAGGCTGACATCAACACCCCAGATAACCACCTTTCAGTTCAGTTGATACTGAAATAAAACCAATTCACATTAACAGTACATGCAGTAGACATGTCACTATACAGGGCATCATGTGGAAGGTTACCACAGTGACAAATAATATGCCCAAGTACATAAAGCGCATTGTACGTGCACATTTCAAGAGTACATGCATATCCATAGTACACAGCAATCAATCAGAACCAATAAAGATGACTAACAAAGCTGACTAGCTGTAGCAGTAACACAATCAATAGACCTACATATAAAATACTACTTAACTATAAGCCGTAACGTGCAAGCCAAACAATTAACAAACAGCCATTGCCATAGCATGAACATAAAACATAATCAAATGAACATAACAGCAAAAACAAAAAGCAAGCATACCCAAACTTGTGGTAATTTGCATATTGTTGTTCGGTCATTTCAGTAGTGTCTAATTCTTTGTGACCCCATTTGGGGTTTTCTTGACTAAGATCCTGGAGTAGTTTGTCATTTCCTTCTCCAGCTCATTTTCAGATGAGGAAACTGAAGCAAATGGGGTTAAGTGACTTGCCCAGTATCACACAGCTAGTAAGTGTCTTGAGGCCAAATTTGAACTCAGATCTTCCTGACTCCAGGCCCAGTGTTCTATCCACTGTACCACCTAGCTGCCCCAATTTGCATGTATAGCAATGAACATATGCAGTTCCATCCATGGGCAATCTCTAGTATTGTTGCCTAGATATATGTGTAGCTATGTCTTCATGCTTATCTGTAACATCATAATATAGCCTAGTTATTGGTCTAAAAGGCCTAATTCTCTTGTTACTGACTGATCTCTCTGCTCCTGTCTCAGAGCTAGTAGTTGGTATGGGCTGACCATCAGGATCATTATAGACTTATTTATCTACACCTGGGCTGGCAACCATTCCAGGTTGGCTCTCAGTATTTTTGAGCTCTGTAGTTTGAATCTGTACCCTATTAGTCTCTGTAGCAGTTTTGGGTAGGAAAGGGGTAGTCTCTGGGTTCAATTCTCCTTCTCTGTAACAATATACACAGTCTCCTTCCCTGAATACATCACTTTCAATGCCCATATCTGGTCAGAAAGTCTTTGTACAGCTGGTGGTCAGTGTCTTTTCCTCAACCTTTGCCTAGATGTGTCCATCAGTTTTCTCCATCTGCTCATTAGAAAGTCCAAGTAACTTTTCCTATGGACAGTAGGTGGTTGTGGTGAATAGTCCTGATAGGTCACACTTTAAATAGGCAACTTACCTAGTCTCTCGATAACTTTGTATAGATTAGCTTTCCAACAGTCTGCCAACTTGTAAGGTTCTGGACAGATGAAAGCAGTCTTTTCCTTGTCTTCCTGGGGCATAGGAATCCCATACTAATCTACTACACAAGTGGAAGACTGAGAACCACTGACTGCCCAGCAGACAGTCCAGGGTATCTTGCACCCATGGCACAGTGTACAGATCTATTTTAGACTTTTTGTTCAAGATTTGGTAATCCACACATACTCATATCTTTCCATTTGTCTACTTATGGATAATGTATAAGTTCTGCTGGATTCTGTGCTGATGCCATTAACCAACATTTCTTTGAGCTGGTTTCTGAGATCTTCCCTCATAGACCCAGGAATCGTCCTAGAGCTTTC